ATGCCGAGAGGTGGCTGCTTTGGCTTCTGTCCTAGACGGTCTTGCCTCCAACCATCTACCTTCTCATCCCTTGATCCGGATATTTTTCCATGGAGCATCCAACCTGCATCCCCCTGCCATCCATAGGTATCCGACTTGGGACTTGCCTCGTGTCCTAGAGGCTCTGACTTCTTCGCCCTTTGAACCTATGAGATCCACTTCTTTGAAACTGTTGTCCTTCAAGATGTTGTTTTTGGTGGCTATAACATCTGCCAGACATATTTCTAATTTGGCTGCCCTTTCAGTCAGGCATGATTTATGCGTGTTCCATGCAGACCAAGTCGTTTTAAGACTGGACCCGACATTCATATTGAAGGTAAATAGCTGCTTCCACAGAGGTCAAGAATTAACCTTGCCTGATTTCTGCCCATCTCCTCATCATCAGAGTGGCACTCTGACGTATGACGTGCCCTCAAGATCTACATCAACCACATCGCTTTGTTCTGCCACTTGGAAGCTCTCTTCATATCCTTTTGCTGGGCCCCCTTGGGTAACAAGGCTTCGTTGTCGAGTCTGGGGCGGTGGATCAGAGCCTGTATTAAACTGTTTTATGAACTTCAGTCCTTGCAGGTCTAAACATTATAGCTCATTCTACATGTAGTACTGTGACAACTGCTGCTTGGTCCATGCAAGCCACATTGGAAGAAATCTGCTGGGCAGTCACATGGGCGTCTCCCACGGTTTTCATATGTCATTACAAGTTAGACATATATGTGTCAGCTAATGCAGCTTTTGGGCGCAGGGTACTGCAACAAGTGCTTGTGCCTTAATGGACTTTCTTTAGTATCCCTACCCTAGTGGACAGCCCAGTCTTTAGTATGTCCCAGTCTGGCTGCTATCTCCATGATCCAGGAGAATGGGTGTTGGTTCTTACCTGATACCCTGAGGTGTGTCACACAATTCAGAACCTTTTTTGTGTGGAGGAGAGAGAGAGAGAGAGAGAAACAGAGGATGGGGACTTTACACATGTATGTTTTTGCTCACAATTCTCACTTGAGTCTACAGTTTTCCTTCGTCTGAACTGGGAACGAGCCACAAGAGCCCGATGATACCATAAGTGTAAACTCAGTCCAATTGGTTACTGGATGGAGTAAATCCAGTCTGGCTGCTGTCTCCACTTCAACAGAGAATGAGCGTATCAGATAAGAACCAACACCCATTCACCTTGCTTTGCTTTTCCTTGCTTTTTATGCCTTACATGGAAATTTTACTTACCAGTAGCAAAAGAGGATACCGTGCATGTGGGAAAGCTACTTACATCTTGCAAAACTTTTGGACAAGTCTTCAGAGTTATGTGAAACACTTTGATAAAGAAAAATTCTGTGGTCTTTGGATGTGTCACATTCCATAAACTCTCTGACCCTAAACATTTATTTGAGCCAAGTCCCATTACTTTGGAAATAACCAGAGAGAAGTGAGCAACCCACATATCCCTTCCCTGATTTTTCTCTTCCTTTTTTTGATTCAATTTCTCTGTTTATGTGTGTTCCTCTATACAAAAGATTGGGAAGCAGCCAAGGCCAAGATGATTAGTGCTGTAAAAGAAAACACACACCACGGGGGCTACTCTTGCAATTGTCTTACCTGAAAGTTAGAGGACAAGGAGAAGTAGTGGGTCTGGCTGCTGTCATCAGCTTTCTATGCCTGCTAATAGTAGCTAATGCAAATGGATACTAGATTAATGTAGAAGCTGTGTCATTCCCCCTGCCTTATGCCATTATATCATAGTCTGAACAACCTTTCAGCCTCTAGGGCCCTATTTTATGGTTATAGTCCTCCAAGCCAATCACTATTTATTACAAGTACAGTGCTGCCACTACAAAAGACTTTTGGTAAGATGTGTGTAATGAGGTAGGGTGATACTTCTCATTTCAAGAATAAAAGTAAAGAAATGTTGAATGTTTTCTGAAGTGAAGAAGCAGCAGTCTGAAATAAAACATTAAATAGAATATTAAAAAGGCAGTGTTAGCACGATTGTTGTAATGCAAAAATTGTAGCATAACAATTGTAACGAGCATAGCAGCTGTAATGATATGCAAGAGTCTGCTTTAAAAAATGAGTTTCCTAAAGGGTGAAATTGAGTTAAAATTGGTTTGGTTATATATGGGAACATAATCATTTGCAGGGGGGCAAATGTCATGACATACTCATTTGCATCAGATGTTGGGATGTAGGCAGGTAAGCATGGCACATATGCAGTGACGTTGCCATTGTCATTTTGGCATAACTGCAACTTGCTGAAGACTGGACTGGGAAAATGTAAATGCTATGGAACACTTGGGAATAAAGCCTGTTAAATTCAGTGGCTCTTGCTTCAGACATGGTTAAAACTGATCTTCTTATAAAATGAGAGTCCAGTCTAACATGCACCAAGTAAGCTATACATATTTCCTACTTAGAGTAGTGCAGGTGACTGTTTTATAGAAAAGGGGAACTGTTAAAAGAGATGATGACTTTATCTGTTTAAACTTGCCTAGTTCTCACAATTGTATAGACAAAAGATGATTCCATCTATTAGGACTGGTAATTGTATTGGAGGTTGTTTTTAATTTGTTCATAAGTAAGAGTTCGAATTAAATAGTGAGTTGACCAACATCATTTGATGATATCATATTATTATGAATTATTCAAACAAACAAAAAAGATAATGAAGATTTCTCGCAGCTACAGAAATGGACTTAAAATAATAACATAGTTCAGCAATAACAAATTTAAAGTGACATAAAGTGACAGGCATAAGACATAAGAATTTTTTTTAATTCAAATATACTGAAATGGGATCTGGGCAAGTTATGATTAATCAGAAAGGAGTCTTCCCAGAAAATCAGAAAAAATCTTTGTACCTTTTCTGACTAGCAAATTTTATTAAGACATAAAGTAAAGTTTATGATCTTTTGCCACCGTGTCACTAACATGACTATTTTCCTAAAATGGGATTTGGGCAGGATGATGAGAGAGCTCAATGAAAATCTATTGTGCAACCACATTAAGAATATTGCTTATAGTTCAAAAAATGATACCTGTAAAATTGGGAAACACAGAAAGGAAAAAGTATTAAGAGAAAGCAGGTAGGACATGGTAAAGATATATAAACCTATGTATGATGTAGTACAGATAAAAGAAAATATTTCTTCATAGAAAGTGTATTTAACATTTGTAATTTGTTATTTTATTATTTGGAAGAATTTTAAAAGGTGATGACATTAATTCATGGTCTATGGAATTATTAATTATAATGGTTACATATAGCTTCCAGTAATGGAGGCAAAAGGTTTCTAATACAAGTTGCTGGAGTTAATAAGTGTTGCCTAGAGTCTTCCTTGTGGGCCTTCCATTGGCTACTTCTGGCAGAACTACCAACATCACTGAAAAAAGTAACATGACTATTTTTCACACTTACAACTGTTATAGCATCCCCATGATCACATGATTTATATTCGGATGCTTGACAATTGACTTACATTTATGAAGGTTGCAGTGTCCTGGAGTCATGTGACTGCCTTTTGTGACATTCTGATAAGCAAAATCAGTAGGGAAACCAGATTCCCTTCATAACCATGTTACTAATGAAACAACTTTGTGTTTCATTTACAAACGCAGCAAGAAAAGTAGTAAAATGGGGCAAAACTCACTTAACAAATTTCTCAATTAACAACTCACATTTTGGGGTCAATTGTGATTGTACGTTAAAAATCCAGTTTCCTACTTCAGCCAGTATTGAGTTTAGCACAGTCTTTTGGGAGACATCCTTCCATAACAAGGATGTGATATCAAGAATGTTGCTCCTCTCATGTCCCTACACCATTTTAGTTTCTAGTCATAGAGCAAAAGTTTTGAATAGAAATGTGTTTTCAACCATTTCAACCCCAGTAAGGTGCTATTCGTAATTGGTGTTCATGACATAGTCTATTTGCTCTAGTCTTACTTGGGCCAGATTGTAATTCTTGGCGGGCCAGCCAAAACTGCTAAAAGTGATCTCAGCTATGGAAACTGTAAAGATAGTCCAGCAATATTTCCAAGCTTTTGCCTTTGTTGTTTCAGCCCTGGTCCAATCCTGCACATTTGTATTGCTACTTGAATCTTTTTATGTAGACACTTCAGAAAATTGCTCTCTGGGATTTAGTCTAGCACAGCTCATATAAAAATAAATGGATTACTAATGATGCTCATTATACATGAAACTTTCATATTCATTCTCTCTCTCTCTCTCTCTCTCTCTCTCTCTCTCTCTCTCTCTCTCGCGCGCGCACACACACACACACACACACACCCCTATGGAGATTCTCAGTCATCCCGGTCATGGTTGCCCCAAAGGTGCTTTCTCAAAAGGAAAGCTTCTTCAGTTCTGACTGAATGGTGGAGAATGGTGGTTTAATCATCTGGTCATTAGCACTCTTTCTGACGTTGAAACCACTTGGAGTTTTATCTGCATCCTCAGGATCACCTGAATAGTGTAAATGGTGTTCTTGGAACTGATGAAAGGACTGTATTGTAAACAGGAGATAGGTAGTGTCTAGTTCAGAGGCGGTATTCAGCAGTTCTGACCAGTTCTGCAGAACTGGTAGTGCAAATCTTGAGTAGTTTGGAGAACCAGTAAATACTACCTCTGACTGGCTCTACCCCCACCTATTCTCTGCCTCCCGAGTCCCAGCTGATTGGGAGAAAATGGAGATTTTGCAGTATCCTTCCCCTGGAATGCCCACTAAAGCAAGCCCACCAAGCCATGCCATGCTCACCAAGCCACACCCACAGAACCAATAGTAAAAAAAAAATGAATCCCACCACTGGCAAAGTTGCCTTTTGAAAAAGCAACTTTGGGACATATATGCCTATAGCTTAGGTATCTATATTTAAATAGTGCTTGTGGGGTATATTTGTACAGTAAGAAGGAATTCTGAAGAACAGTGGCTCTGTCAGAAAATACAGTACTAATGAATATCTTGCTATTTTTCTTCCCCCAGTTTACAAGCCTTGAGAAAGGAAAAATCCCGAGATGCTGCTCGTTCTCGAAGAGGAAAAGAAAATTTTGAATTCTATGAGTTGGCCAAATTGTTGCCACTCCCTGCTGCCATTACCAGCCAGCTTGACAAGGCATCTATCATCCGATTAACAATTAGCTATTTGAAGATGAGGGACTTTGCTAATCAAGGGGATCCTCCATGGAACCTGCGTATGGAAGGACCACCTCCCAACACGTCAGTGAAAGGTATGGGGTTTGCGTAGTGGTAATACATGGAATGTGGCAGCCAAACTGATCTCTGAATTGAAATGTTTACCATCCTTTCTTTTCTCCCTGCATATCAAATCCTTTAAAGGGATACAAATATGGAAATCTGAGGTCTGCATGAGAAAGACACCATGTGAAGGTGAAATAAACTCTTATTCTATTTATATTTTATTTTAACATGGACAACTAAGCACAACTAATGTTCTGGGAAAATGAGACGAGTTATGCATATTTATATAATTTAGGTCTTAGTCTAATTTTAAAACTGCTGAGACTGAGAAACGCTAATCCTGGTCTGATTCAATATTATGCAGTACATAGTTACTCAGGATAAGTCCTATTGAGTTCAGTGGGGTTTACTCTGAGATAAGTTTGTAAAATTGGTTGGATCTTTAGTGTTTATAAAACTTGAAACAATTAACTCGAGTATGCTTAATTCTGTGTTGAATTATAGCTGTGAAACGGATTGCTTTGTATGATTATGAGAAATAAAATAGCCCTGCTATGTTTCCCCTCGTTTTTATTAAGAGGTAGTACTTTTTTCAGTGAAAGAAATGTAACCTTTTTGTTATAAGAGTAGTAGTTTGGTGATATATTTTTGTCCAGAGAATTAACACGGGTTATTCATTTTTCTGCCTGGCTAATGTTTTATTGTGAAATTAATTTCTTTAAAATTTAAGGCATTAACTTGAATATAAATACCATTTCACTCAACTCTGGTATTAGAAACTGAATATAGGTCTAGCATGATGCTTACATTGAGTTACAAGAAACAAAGCATTCAAGCTGCAGTATTACTTCTATATCATTGTGTTTTTTACATTTTCTAATGAAATTTTTATATGTATTACAGCTGCTTAACTGTATATAAAAAAATTCACTTGTTAACCAAAACAGGAATGAACATGTATTAAATGAGTTAAAATTACTTTCCTATATTCAACAGATGTTTGTATACATGCCAATTTTTTACCTGATTGTCTTCTTAGACAAAAAAGGTTTTGGTTTGGTTGCCCACCTACATTCTGTTATCAAAATTGGAAATAAACTCTGCAGAGTTTTGTAAAATGTGACTAAAATGGATGTTGGGAGAATTTGAGAAATGTTTCTTATCTTGCTCTTTGAGTCATGCGAGATGATATTAAAATGGGTGAGCTTCAGCAATTATAAGAATTTATACTTAAGAATGAATTTGAAAGAAAAAATAAAAAAAACTTTTTTACAAATAAAATGGATGCGCTTACCTTTAATACTGCATTTCTAAATACAGACGAAATTATTATTTTTTATTTTAATGATCAGGCTGTTAGGAAGGTATCTCTTAGAGCAGGGGTGTCAAACTCGTGGTCTGTGGGCCGGGTGCATCATCACATGCTGGCCCTGCTCCTGCCTGGTTTAGTGAACAGGACAAAAGTCCCGATATGTCACATGACGATGCTGTGATAATGGGAGTTTGACACCCCTGGCCTAGAGTTGTATTCATTTTCGAATAATAATTTTGACCATGATATTATAAGGTGTATCATAAATTATAGTTTTCTTCAACTGTATATACATGTATTGTATATACTTAATGGTGATTATATAGTCAACATTTGAAAGTTGACTTCAGCGTAATGTTACTTCTCTCTACAGAGTGAGTTTTTAACTCTATAGGATGAACTCCTTAGGACCATTGCTTTCCCTATTTTGTCTACAGTGGAAAATTGCAAGGAAGAATCAATCACTTGTTTTTCTTTTCAATTAACTAGTATATCATTAAGCTTGAATTAAGCATTCTGATAAGTCTTAATTATGATTTATCTGAAGAAACAAGGATAATGTATCAGCTAGTTTGGAAAACGGAATAAAAAAACATATATTTTTCTTTATCTCCACTTCTCTTGAGTGTGTGTGCACATGTGCACTTGTATTTGCATGTGCTTATGTAATAAAGCAGAGTGCTTGAAACATAAAATGCTAAATTTTAAGTGCCACCATAATAGTCTAATAAGAAGAACTACTTTAATTTTATATAAAGAGGAAACATTTTATTGGTAATTTAGGAAACATAAAAATTATGTGCGGTAGCATATCCACTGATGCCATGTTCAATATATTGGTGTGAGCATGGAAAAAGTCCAATAAAATTTGAGCACATGCTCTTTCATTTGAAAAACCTGGTGCTAAAAAGAAATAATGAAATAATAATGTGAGTCATTCAACAAAAATATTTATTGGGATTTTGTGCCCCAATAACTATATTACCTGTTTATTTTAATTTTATGTTTAGGCAAAAGCTAGAGTTATTCCCTTTGAAGTGTAGGATAAAATAAGATTACAGGTCTGTTTTTATTAGAGGTGATTGGGTTTTTTCTTTAAAAAAAGAACATAGCTACAGTAGGTATAACAGAAACCTGATAGAGTGAGGAGAAGCAGCCAATATTGTTAACATTTGATATAATATGTATAGGACATCTAACAATCTATAAATCTAAAAAGAATGCAGTTTATACAGAACCCAATAATAATTTCAAAAAACTTTTTATTCCATTTACAATGGAGTTTACCTAGTTTTATGTTCTTCACTACGCCATGGCAACTGGCATACTGAGACCACAGCTGAACAGGTTGCCAGTACCTTATTTCAGCCAAAGCAACAGATGATGAGTAGCTAATTTTGCAAATATGCCATGCACTGAAACTAGCTACCTGTACAATCACCAAGGTTGTACAGGTAGTCCCTAGCTTAGGACTTATGACACAATTGAGCCCAAATTTTTGTTGCTAAGTAATACATTTGTTAAGTGAGTTTTGGCCCATTTTATGATCTTTCTTGCCACACTTATTAAGTAACTGCAGTTGTTAAATTAATAATATAGCTGTTAGTGAATTTGGCTTTCCCATTGACTTTTCTTGTCAGAAGAGCTCAAAAGGTGATCACATTACCCTGGGACACTGGAACTGTCATAAATATGAGTCAGTTGCGGAGCATCTGAATTTTGATCACGAGATCATGGGAATGGTACAACAGTCTTAAGTGTGATATAAGGCCCTTTTTCAGTGACATTGTAACTTCAAAGGATCACTAAATGAACAGCTTTAAGTCGAGGACTACCTGTATCTACTGTTGTTTCTGGTCATACACCCATATTGCTTCACTCTCCACAATCTTTATTGGACAAATTTAATGGAACTCAAGATTCGTTCAAGCCAGTCCAATTTCTGACTTTTGGGACACCAGCCAATGGAATGTCCTTGATTGGTCTTTGTGCTCTGTTTAAAAATATTTCATGTTTTTTCCGAAAATCCAGCAGCCCAGTACTAAACATGCCAAAAATGTTCTGTATTGCATGTTAACCTGGAAAACAATATTCTTTTAATCTCCCTGCTTTAGATTATAGAATTTCTTCCAATGGCATTCAGTTGGATCTCATTGAAGTGGGTTCGACTCTAGTCTGACAATTCCAAGGGTTTCCAATTATGTGCAGTAGTGCATAGGTGAATGGGTGGAGGGGGGAGAGTTTAAAACATCTGCATTAGTTTTATAGCCCAATTTGATGAACATACCTGGCTTTTGATTTACCTTAAGTATTCCAGTATTTAAAACAAATCTTCCTGCCACATTTGCTATCTTCTCAAGCCTGCTTTGGCTAAGCCAGTTAGAAACTTATGCTCCCTCCCCTTATTTGAACAGCCATTTATAATTTTATTACTGACTTAAGTGTTAAGTATTTGATCTGTGTTTTGGCTGCTGTGAAATTTTTTTATTAAGATGCCAAACTATTTATTGAGCAAAACTTCCAATACAAAAGTATGGGTAGATTTATTGTTTCAGATTCCATTGTTAAATTTACATCATGTTTCTAGAAAGCTTTGTACCAATTACTTGAGTTGAGGGATTGATAGTATTGGGGTGTTTTATTGTTTATTCATTGTACTGTGTTTTAATTGCATTTGCAAACTGCCAAGATTTGAGTAGTTTAAGGCAAGACAGAAATCAAGCTAATTAAAATTAAATCCCATCATTCTTTAATTTTAGAAGGTATTAGAATATCGATAAGTTAACCCATATATTTAATTTTAACTTTTAAAAAGGGTTTTTTTTTCTGAAGTAGTCCAAATAACTTTAGCACTCATTAATGTGAATGGGAAGAGAAGGATGTTTTAACCACCTATGTGCACATCAAAGGGATTGAATGGAAACCTATTGACTAGTATGGATGCTGCCAGACCAAAACTGTCCTTCCCTATCCTTCCCTAAGTCTGCTAAAGTGGTTTTCATCACCTTCAGAGACTTGAATAGCATAATGAACTTAGACCTGTGAAGAAATGCCATTAAAGACAGCCCAACACTCCCAGCTGAGGCCCATCTTATCTTATGTCAGTGTCAGGACCAAAAACAGAAAATGTTCGGTATGTAGTATCCTTATATACTACATACACCCTTACTTGGGAGATTCTGCAGAGCTATGTTCCATACATTTTAAGAATGGAAGGGGGAAAGAAAATGCAAACAAAGCAACTTGGGATCTTTGAAGAAGTCCCAAAAGAAGAAATGCTGTTTTTGAGATATTTATTGAAAAACAAAAGTTGTGGTATATGTAATTATGCATGGTGTGGAAACATGCATACTGTCCAGGTGAGGAAGATTTTATTGCTCCTGGATAAAACTAAATTATGGGAAATTCTGGGTATAAAAAGAAACCACATACTACATATAATTGAATTGCAGAACTTGATACCTAAGGATGTCCTGGCTGCCAGCATACTGTAGTTCCAAGTTATTAAAAAAAATCATGCAGGAAAGTTGTACAGATAGACCTAGAGAGAAGAAGAGCATAGAGAATAGGCAGTGGAGCAGAAGCAGATATTATCTAAAGATCACTTAAACATGGTGGAAATGCTGGATAGCATTTTAGTTATGAGAATGTGAGATACTGAGCTGTTTTCTAGCATATGTTCTAATTTCTTCAGGGCATGTTTTGTGCTGGCAGTTACAACAGGTAAATACTATTGCACTTTGCTCTTGAGCAACTATGTCAGTTGTTGTATCTTTTGTTGATTTAGAGCAGTGAGGTTGGCTACATTATTGGATGTGACAGCCTTTCTGTCCATTTTGGCTCTGAGATGTTACAGTACAGGTTCCCTCTCTATATTTCTTGTTGCTGCTTGTTTTGTAAAAACTTTAGTGAGGGATTTTGAATTCAAATGATACAGCTGAATCAGAATTAAATAGAGATTTTAATACACTATAGTAATTGCATTTTATTATATGTTACATGTGATATCTGGGATCAACTCATCAGAATCAGTACATTTACCATCTGTCTGTCTGTCTGTCTCTTCTTCCCTCCATGAACCAGCAATTGGCATTAGTCATATGGGCTTCAGCAGCAATGGACATCTGATTAGCTTTCAGATACTCCCAGAAGCTGCTAAACATTCCCCAGCTACCATCTCAATTTTATGGGTCATGACAGATAGCAGGACAGGAATAATACCTGACCTGC